TATAACATTACATCCGTGTACTGGGCTTTTTGTATGTGTGGTCGTAACTGTGACATAGCTCTCATCGTTGACTTCTGACTTCTGACTTCTTCGCATGTATAAAACTAACAATAGAGACAATGCGATGCATGTGGGTGACATAATTCACCACACCTAGATTCACACTTCTCAGTAATGTCTTTGGTTAGGATGGTCACCGTTTAAAGGGCACATTTGCATACTGAAGCTCTCTGCAGTATTACTGCAATAATGATGAACAAACAACATATTGTGAAGCCCTAATGCATATCTTTTAAAAAATGCATGCCCAAATTCACACTTCTGATCATTCCTCATCTCCTTCAAATCGTAAAGACTGGCATCAGACTACTAACAGCCATTTCTGTTCAAGTAAAGACAGCCAGGCCTGGGTTAAAGCCCAAATCCCAGGCAGGACAGTTGTTTGATATTGCTATGTTGCACACTGCACCACCAGTCTGTGCTCAGAGAGCTGGCGCATGTTGCAAAGATCTAACAAGACAGAAATAAAAATAAAATTGAGAAAGAGAAGTGTAAGCATATGTTCATAGAAAAAAATAAAAAGGCAAACTAATTTTAACCAATATCCAAATAAATACATCTAAACATTGTTTTTACAACTTTATAACTGAAACAGCATTCTTCCCTGAAAACCAGCCATGAAAACCTTCCATACCATTCCAGCCAAACTGTTATCATTGATGTGCCTCATACAGCCCACACCACTGAACTGTAGCATCTTATCGTAAACTTACATGTTTACGTTAGGCATCGCCCCTTCCTTCAGTCAAATATTGTGCAATTAATTTTGTACAAAAATGTACATAGTGTGACATGCATTGTTTGCCCTTGTGTCTTGTATATTTATCCTTAATGTTCTGTATACTGTTCTTTGCTGTTGTGTCTCTCCCCCACAAATCATATATTTATCCACTCAGTAATGTCAATGCACTTGTTTCCCTTTTACTGTCATGTTGAGCAGCTTCCAACACCGCAACGAGTTTCGTACCTGACTTTCCACCAGTTCTTATATGAAGATCCTTGTAGCTGATATCATTGTTTATAGTATTCAAAAAAATTAGTTAGATGTATCTGAATCTGACCTGTGAACACCTTCTTTCGCAATGCCAGACATGCACTCAAATTTGAGAAGCAAATTTCCCAAACACCATCTCAACGCTACAGTAACATCATTGGTCAATACTGCTGACATCACAGCTATACTATCTTCCAACCGTATATGTGAGAAAAGTACTGTAAGATTGCAAGAGTCCACAGCAAGATCATGTAAATCCAAGTTGTAGTTAGTAAGCCCAATCTGAGATCACTCATGCTGAAAAACAGGGACACAGGGACAGAGAGACAGAACTAGTAAAGGCAAGATGAGCTTCAGGTTCTCAGATATCATACCACCCCCATCTCTCCAATGGAAATCACAGGGAAACAAAGCCCAGAAATCCTCCAGCAAGCTTCAAAGACCCAGGGCTGCTGTGATGGAGAGGATGGGGTGGGGCTGCTGTCCTCGTTTGACAATCAAGCACACTCAGCCTCTTCACCCTCTTCTCCTGCCTCTCTCCACCCAGCATTTCGGCAGGCTTTTGAGGAAAGGACAAAGTAAGTAAGGAACTAATAAATAAATAAATAAATAAATAAATAAATAAAGTCGCCCTGCCACTCGCATCATTCAAATTGCCTTTTGCAAAAGGCAGTGCCTCTGCAGCAGGTTTTTACCCCCAAATCACATTTGAATAATAACGAAAATCCATCGAAAGTTCAGGATAAATTAAATAAATCCACGGAATAGAAGCTGTGTGAAAGAATCAGGCTAACAGCGATTACTGAGGGGAGGTCACAGGAACGCCAAGAAACAGGCAGGAGGCTCATGGCACACATTCAGGAGGACCATATACCCAAGGCCACACACACACACACACACACACACACACACTCACCACACCCACCCCCCACCCACCACCCCACCCCCCCCACACACACCATGAACGACCAGTAGAAGAACTGTTTTGGTAGTTTTGCTTTATTATTTAATAATAACTGTGTAATTACATAACTAGTTAGAAGAAACTCTGAATAAAATATGGTACAAAAATTTTAAAACCGTCCTAGGTAGAAGTGAAAAAATAGTTTTGGCAAAAATGGCTGTGATATTATGTAGATTTATTGTATATTACACAGTGAAAGTATGAGAAAGTTGAACACCCCATGTCAAATAACATGTTTTGTGGATTTTCTAGGTAAAAATTAGTTAATAGGTCCTCAACAGGGAGTAAACATAAACATGGAAACTTTCGATTGTAAATTTCTGCATGTGGAATTTAACGTACCGGGAAAAAATAAAAGTGGAAAATGGAAAATGTGCCATAACCTTTGCCACATATTGTGTTTTCATTTTTTCCAATGATTAAATTCAATAATTGGGAATTGAAATGTGCTGAAGTGTGTAATCTCTAGAATACAGAGACACACATATTGCTGTTGTCTGGAAAAAAAACTCCATTTTTGACAATTTTCAGTTTTGACTGTTTCATTTGAAAATACCCTTTGCCCTTTACATGTATGTGTGTGCAACTTTCATGATGAATAGAGTAAAAGAAATGACCCAAAATTACTTGGGGTGGGTCTGGTCCCATTGACTTGCTTTAAAAGTAATCATTTTGGAGATAAAAGGTTTTCTTCCCACAACAGCTATATATATATATATATATATATATATATATATATATATATATATATATATATATATATATATATATATATACACAGCTGTTGTATATATATATATACACACACACACACACACACACATACATACATATATATATATATACACATACACACACCACACACTCACACACAGAAAAAGTCCATAAAGTGAATACACACCCACACACTGACTCTATTTTGCATGTAAACACACTTCAGCAGAGCACACAAAAAACACACAGCATTCTCACGCTCCTCTGAACTCCCAAAAACAACCTCCCAGAAAACACATACACACACTCAACACAGCATGATGATTGCTCAAGACAGCTCAATCGTGAGTGTGGTACCCGCATGGCCTTAGTTCCTCTTTTCTCGATCAGTTGCTCAGAAGCTAAGTAACGGCCAGTTCCCGTGTAGCTTCCTGCTGTAGAGCTAATGCTCAGCCCTAGGAGTTTCTCTTCCCTTTGCTGGTTCCACACATATACACACTGTACCTCACAGCCTCAAACAGAAACCACAGAGACACGCATACAAAAACACATGCATTTTCATCACTTCAGCAAATACTGCATACTCTCCTGAGCAACCACCAGTATCATGGGAGCCAATGGACAATTTTCATCACTGTCTCAAAGTGGCCTAAACTAGTCAAAGCCAAAACTGCTGCCCCCAAACTCAATCATTAAACCCAGTCCATGCAATATGAAGATGAAAAAGGTCACAACATGAGACCACCTCTATAGCCTGTTGCTAAATAGACAAATGGCAGATAACAAAACAACTGCATTTTAAAACATGAAAGATGAAATGTAGCAAGACCAGACAAATCTGGATGAGCCAGACTGATTTGTCTAAACTAGGGGTGCGCAATCCCATGAAGAACAACCAAACTCTGCTGAACTCTGTGTTGGTTCCCTTGATCTGGATCCTGCTATCCAGCTAATCAAAGAAGCTCATGCTAAAACTAATGAAATTTAATGGCAGAGAAAATAACTTCCCATCTATGAGTAAGTGATCTCTCTTTATGGCAGCAACTTTATTGCAGTGTTTAGTACTAACAAATTAATCAGCTTTGTACTTGCAAGTGCTGTAGCCACAACAAACAAAAGTTTTGTTTATATATCACCACAATGGTCTATGCTGTGTGACTTATCTGGAAACACTTAGATGTGAGCATTTAAACAATGGTAAACAAGTCAGTTAGGGACATTGACTCTTCCAGGTCCAGCAAAAATGCACACAAAAACCCAGTTCCATCCAGCATCTACTCAAGTGCAAAGAGTGTCCAAACACACCTGGGCTGGATGTATATTTGTTTAGAGGCATTAGTTTTAAACATTAAGATCATAAACATTAGACCATAGAGTAGTGGTTCCCAACCCAGTCCTTAGGGCCCTCAAGATGGTCCACACTTTGCTTTCATCCCCAAGGTGTTGCAAGTTTGGTTGAAGCAAAAATGTAGACCCTGTGGGTGGTCTGAGGACCAGATTGGGAACCACTGATCTAGGGAACAATCTTTTTCTGGGCCTCTTCTTAAGCTTCCACAGGTGATTTAAACCAACTACAGCCAAAGATTTGAAGATTAAAGATTAAACTATGTAGGACACTTTTAAAAATAAAGTGTTCTAAATAGCTTCTGGCTTGGATGTTAGGTTTTAGGAAAAACTGGTATCGAACCTTAACAATGATTTCAAAATTAGCTGTTTTTGCAGCTTAAGTTCTCAATTAGACAGTGTGGACTGGGGAGTGCATAGTACATTCTGAAACTTTAGCAAAGTCTACATACTACATCATTCTCTGTTATTTCAAAAAAGAAAAGGAAAGTTCATTTTTCCATGACATGGGCTATTTAAGAGTCCTTTACTCTTACTGACTTCACCAATCAAATGACGTCTTCAGAGAAACAAAGACTCAGAGAAACAAAGACACAGTGACCTTAGTGACTGGCTGGAGTGGATGACTGGCTGAAGTGATTGGCTGAGGAAGATTACAGAAGTGTCTCCCCTTGATCTCTGCCCAGTGACCATTATGACACACTGCATGAAAGCTATCGTGGCTTTGGGGTGCATTCTGGTCAACGCTCACATGCAGAACCCAATGAAAATCAATCGGTCTTAACACATTCATGGCTAATGTCTCCCCCCAGCTCTGGCCTGTTTCAGAGACACTGGCAGAGATCAAGAAGGGCTAAAAATAAGCCTGAGACGGACTCTCCATGACCCAGAGAGTTGCGGCCATTGGAACTGACTGGGACTTACCCTGGAGGGACTGTCTGGCTCTCTCCACTAGTTCCTCAATGGGGTAGCTGGCGAGGACCCCTCTGGCATGCTTGGTTTTGCAGTATGTGCAAGCATTCAAACAGCTGTATGAGAGGAGACAGGCATACAGAAAGACAGAGAGAAACACATTAGCTTATCAACAAAATAAACAGTTAAACCTACTTACAAATACAGCTTAAAATAATTTTTAATGTCTACTGGCAGACACTGTAGAAGAGTCTGTTTCCCATAGACCAAATTAACATAGTTTTCGTCTTTTTAATAGACTTTTGCCCAGTCCTCCCACTGCAATTTAATTCCAAATCTTTTATGCCATACCAGCAGTGCAACAAACCCTTCTGTTCCCAGTTCATTCAGCTGTACTGTAGATCTGCTCAGCAAGCTCAGACAGATTGTAGACAGAGAATAGGCTTGAGTGATTTGATGTTATCATTGCAATGTCAACAGTCTTGACCAACAATGTTATTTTTGCATTGAGATCAGCTACCTGGCCGCTTAATTGAGCACACATACTTAACGGTGTGAAAGAACTCGCCCAGGAGTCGCTCACATATATCTACCTATTACTGGAGTCATTGTGAAACTTGAGAGTATGTACAAACCTGAGTGTATGAGATAAAAAGGTCAATCCAAAGATTTGTTGTAAAAGAAATGGTTAGTTTTTCACAGGAAAAATGAAACTATCCAACACTACCACTTCACCAAATTACAAAACACATTATTGTGGAAGCCTAATCAGGCATACAGACCACAATTATTCAGTACTGTGTACTATCCAAAGATATTCATGTTTCAGTGTCTGAAAAGAAAGTTAAAACAAATATTTAACAGAAAATCACACTAAAGTCTTAAATACTAAATATTTCAAATTTATCAGTATTTAGTGTGTCCACACTTTGTGTTCAATGCAGTTTCCATCCTTACATTTTGTTTTTCATAAAAATCAGCAAGGATGTTTTTCTACATCTCAAAAATTCAGTCTTAGAGGTTGGTTACATTTTCTGCTTCTCACAATCAAAGTAATCCCAAATTACAAATTTACACTCATTAGTCCATAAGCAAGAAGTGCAAGAGTGGTTTCCTGCTTTTTGTCTGACACTAAAAAATGAATAACCTTTTTGACTGGAAATTGAGCAAAAAGGTGGTCCATGAGTTTTGTTCATTACTGTGTTTTTAAGTAGCATCTCTTTTCAAATATGATAAAATGGTGTAACGGGTACTTGAAAAAAAAGAAAAATTTGATAAGAATTTTTATCAAGAATTTGATAAAAAGAATATCATCCTGTGCTCTGTTTGAGGATGAGGTCAGCAGGGGGTCTCTCCTGAGAGTGGTTCTCAGGCAAGGAGATGTAGAGGTGTAAAGAAAGAAAAGCACCCTTTAACTTAGTTTTGATTAGTGCTTGTGAGCTTCTGGGTGGCTCTTTTCAGACAACTACTCAGCTACGACTCATAGTAATCCAAACAACTGACAGAGGCATCAGGGTCAATTAGGCCAGTCAGCTTTAGAGATGCTCTGGCCAAGCACAGTTTCTGTCCAGTTGGGGTGGTGAGAGGATTTTTGGACCCTAACAACCATGCAGCCATCAGCCAAAAATAAATAAATCCAGAAGAGATCAGTCATCAAGACTAAGCAGCAGTGGACCTGCTATCATTCTCCACATAGAAGAAATGTGTTCTGTTAAAGGAAGAATTTACATGTAAAGCCTAACAAGACCAACTATGAATGAAGGACAGTAAGCACAGCATGGGCCTCCCGGCTTTCATTCATCACTGGCAATGTTAGACTTTCCAGACAAATATTGCTTTAACTACAGATTGTGCCTAGACATACTAATAAGAGGCTCTGCATGTTATATTATTCTGGAAATACAGATATTAAGATATCACAAACTTCATGCATAGCAGTAATGATCTAAAAATGTGGCAAGGTCCAAAACTAGCCTGTGGAACAGCAGTCAGATTCAGAGCTAAACAAAGCTCTTTTATTATTATATTCTTTATTCGTTCTATTCCCCAAAAATCTTCCAAATCACAACACCAAGGATTGTCCATGCTGTTAGCTTCACTATCTGGCATAATGCTTCTTTAAAAAGGCAAGCCGACTGGATAAATGGACTCTTGTAAATGCTCCAGGCGTCTCATTCTTGACGTGAGACGTTCTTTAACAGAGACCATCCATCTCACAGCACTTTCCCAAATTAAACCAGGCATTAAAACATGAAGGGCAGGTCACATGACCAGGCCTCAGAGAAAACAGGCACAGATGGGGTCCTCACAACCAACACACACACAAATGCACTCCTCTCGGTCTGAGTGGAGCTGCACCAAGGGTCCTACTTTACTGTAATATGGCCCAGCAAAGTAGATCAAACTCATTGTAAACCCCATCGGGTAAGACGTCCTCGTTGCAATGTTTTCACATCAAACAATCCCCTTATGCATTAGCTGGACCTCACACTGTCCCCCAAAGCAGCTTTCTATTCACAGCATTAAGATTAAGGCTACGGCGCTCTGCCAGAGGTTTTAATGGTGCATGTTAATGTAGGGCAAGCTACACTTTTCTGTATTTGTTTATATATGTACACACAGTCCCCACACCCATCTTAACCTATACCAGTAAACACTGCTATACTGCATAGTAGGAGCTGTCTGTGTAGTAGAACTAAAACACTGTCAAAAAGGTACACCACTGCCTCAAGCTCTCGTCAACCTAATCCATCTTCACAGAGCACGGAGGTGTGCTGGGAGTCTGAGGCTCAGTATCATAACTGGAAAATAGCTGATGACACACAGTGCTTCTCTTTTCACTTTTATGCTGCACCCTGAAAAGAACAGCTGACACACTCCTCAGTCTAACTAGGGTGAAGGAATCGACTACTGGCGCAGTGTAGCATGACGTATATCCTCTTTCCTAACAGCATCTGTTTACTTCCGGTTAGCACATGTCAGGAGCTAACTTTAGTTATCTCCTCACCTCTTTCCATTGTTTCTTTGTTATGCTTCTATCCATTTCTTTATGTTTCAATCCCCTGTGTAGCTTCTCCTGCCTCTTTATTGACCTGTAGCACAGTAGCTAATGGAAGAATATTGGAGAATCTTCACAGCTAGACGTGCAATTCAAAGCTTCTTCTGAAAACAATGATATTGGAGCTTTACTGCTGGCTTTTGCTGGATGGTAAATATCAAATTCATTTTTGGGTCAGGCTAATATTGGTGCTACATTAAGCAGGCTGTCTAACTTGGAATAAAATTGACCAATCTGGAGCAGGCACTGACCAGAACAGGCGTGTTGCTTGGAAAAGGAATATTGTGCAAGCAGCCCATATGAGAACAATTCTGCTATCACTATATCAGGAGCACTTAACTCCAGTTCTAGAGGGGTGGGGTCCAGCACGGTTTGGTATTTTTCCTGCTTAAAGACACTTGATTCAAATGCTCTGGAAAAACATGCTGGTCCCCAGACTTCTAGGAAACCCAGTAGACTATCCTATGCAATACTAAAATACATCTAGTCTTTACACCAACCACACTGCAGAATGTCTTAGCCCATGCAGACCACTATAGTGACAGGTTCCTTAATTGCTTTCTTAGCAAGTCACTGCTATTTTCCAGAAGTCATTAATTACAGAGAACGATACATGAGGACAATGCATTTTATCACAAGAAAAAGAGGGCTTTTAGGCCCCTGGCGAACAACGTCCCACTCGCTTGCTCTTTTTCATCTTTTCAAAAGCAATGCAGACTTTGTGATGGCATAGGAAGCCCTGGATCCTTGCCTCCCTTTTTGTTTATTAATCCAGACCCTCACAAGGGCATGAGAACTAAATAATGTCGACCCCCTTGCTAGGAAAGGGGCCTGTGGCCCGTGTGGAGATGAATGGAGGCACTAAGCTGACGATAAGTGCCCCCCATTAATTGTGCAGCGAGTCTGTGTAGGGTTTGAGCGAAGAGGTAATTAAAGAGAAAGTTGGGACTTCACCAAAGTAGAGGGGCTCATCTCGCTGTTTATCGCTGTGCACCTTAACAGAAGACACAAGAGACTGTCATCAACAGCGTCAGGAGAGCTTAAGCAATGACAGAAAGCAAAAATGTGTTGTGACATCAAGTTAAAGACTAGCCAAAGGATGCAATCATGAAGTTCAAGGTGGTAGAGGACAAACAAACAGGGAACAAAAGGCACAGTGTCCTGAGGATGAGCATAATAGGAGCTTTCTCTCAGCCGGTAAAGAGAAAGGTGATGAGTCAGGGTAACCACGGAGATAAGCTGCTAAATAAACAAGAAGAAAACAGAATGCCAGACAAAAAGTTTGCCCTAGGCAACTACTTCACAGGAGTAACCATGCATGCCCATCAAGAGGCAAATTAATTTATGATTTAGGAGAACAGAAATTATAACAGTATTAGTGTGGCTACGCCAATGTTACCTTAGCAAACTCTATACAAAGTTATAATTTTACAACTGACATTAACATACTACTCTAGTAGTATACTCTACTTTGGTGACATCCTCATTTGGAACAGTAAAGAAATAGCTAAATTGTGTTTCTGTAATACTGACAGTTTTTTTAATAATGTTAGAACTTCCAATTGAAGACAGATCCAAACAATCGTTACTTGCTAGTGCGCTCTAAAAGTGTAAGTGTACCTGTCAGAAGTCCATTTTTGTTTTTTTCATAAGATCCATGACATGTCTCAGAGAACGTTTCCTGCATTTTTGCATTATTTATATTTATAATATATTTACACATACAAACACATAAGGAAAGGTAAGAAGCTCTAAAATCCACACATTCTCCCAACCATATCCACAAACACAGTTTTCTAAATGCAAACAAGCACACACATCTTCAGCTGTGCTCCATGTAGAGGGACATGTTAGGACATGTCGGGCTCCTCATACAAAATAACTCCTGGTGAACCCTTCCACAATGCTCTCCTTTCCAAACCTTGTGGCCATACAGGGATGATCAGGAAAAATGAAAAGGGAGCTCATGAGGTCAGAGACAGTGGAACACAAGAATGGCTAAATGATCCTGAGTCATAGAGCAAGAAGCCCAGAGAGGGGGATTATGGGGGCTTAGAG